GTGAGTTCCAGGTCAGTCTCAACTACATAGTGAGACCCTGTCTCAAAAAAAAAAAAAAAAAAAATCTGTTTTTCTTTGCTTGGGATTGAACCCAGGGCCCCTTGTGCTCTGCCTCTGATCTATATCCTCAGCCCCAAGCTTACATTTTGTAAAATAAACTTCTTATCTGGAAATAATTTTAGATTCATAGAAAAGTTGCAATGGTCAGGTAGCAAAGGTGGTACATAGTATCACCACACACCTTCCTCAGGTTTCCTAATGTTACAACTGTGTTCCTCAAAACTAAGAAATCAGGCTGGGGATGTAGCTCAGTGGTGGAGCGCTTTGCCTAGCATGCACAGGGCCCTGGATTTGATCTTCAGCACTGCAAAACAAACAAAAATTTAAAAATTGATATATTATTACCAGCTAAATTACGGATCCAGATTTCACCAGGTTTTCCAGTGATTTTTTCTGTTCCTGGATACCACATTGCATTTGGCAGATAGTAGTTCTAAGATTTATGACACATAACATTTTTATTCATCCATTTTAATTGAAATTATAAATTCCTTGTTTGTTTTTGGGGTACCAGGTATTGAACTCAGGTCCTTGTGTGCCAGGGGGTGGAACCACTGAGCTAAATTCCCTGCCTGTTTGCTTTTTTGAGACAGAGTCGAGCTATCTGGTTCAGGTTAACCTCAAACTAGCAGCATTCCTCTTGCCTGAGCCTCCTGAGTGCTGGGATTACAGGCACCATCACACCCAGTTTATAATTCCTTTTTTTTTTTTTTTTAGTTGGGGGTCTCACTGTGGTGCTCAGGCTGGCCCTCAACTCAAGGTCCTCCTGCCTCAGCCTCCTGAGTAGCTGTGATTGCAGGCACATACCTCCATGCCTGGCCCTATCTACTTCTTCCTTTGACAGTATTCTCTCTCATGTGCCAAACACTAGGCAAGGTACCTAGAGGTTTGTCCTTAGCCTCTTATTATTATTATTATTTTTTTGGTACCACGGATCGAACTCAGGTCCTTGTGCTTGCAAGGGCAGAACCACTGAGCTAAATCCCCGGCCCATAGCCTCTTATCTTAATCCTAGGTTATCTCATTGATTCTAATGGCTTCAAATCTGAAATCTGCAATTACAGCCCAGACACTGCATTTTAAACTTCTAACCCGTCCATCTGCTTCCTGGACATTCCCCCAGGTCACCTCTAACCAACCTGTTCAGCATCTGTACACAGCCCTGAATCTGCCATCTTCTAATGTTGGCCACTTCCCAGGGGCTTCACTTCTCCAGCATCATCAGTTCAAAGCAGCACCAAGTTCTGTCTTGTAGCCTCTTACATTGTCAAGGGCATTCATTTATTTATTCATCCTATCTGATGCCTTTTGTGCTGGAACCTGTCCCATGCATCCCTCTGTCTACACACCATGCTCCTCCGACCTCCGTTCACTTCACTTCGATCCCCTCGATTTCCCTTCCTAGTTTCCTTTTAGCAGATCCAAACTGTTTCTTGTTTTCCTATCTCCCCATGGCTGATTCTTTTCAGGTGTTTAGTTGTTAGATCAGGTTTCCTGTTTTGTCTTTTCTACTGCACTCACCACCTTCCAAGATATATTAATGACTGACTTAAAAAACTCATTTCTGGCTGGGCGTGGTGGCGCATGCCTGTAATCCCAGCACTCGGGAGGCTGAGGCAGGAGGATCGCTGTGAGTTCGAGACCAGCCTGGGCTACATAGTGAGTTCCAGGTCAATCTCAACTACATAGTGAAACCCTATCTCAAAAAAACCAAAATAACAACAACCACTACCACAACAACAACAAAAACTCATTTCTTGTTTGGCCCTTTAGGATGGAAATCCCCCCAGGGCAAAGGCTTTGTTCTTCTTTACATTGCACAACTAGTTCTGAAATTTAACCCCACCTCCCCACCCCCGGCAATATTGTGGAGCTCATCAACTGTGTGGTGGAACTCCCAGGCTCTGGTTGGTACAAAGGTGTTCACTAGCAGTATCAAGGTTCAAGCCCTCCTATCCTGGTAAGAACCTGGTCTGGTGGAGGTGGCCTCCTTCCTGTCTGCGGGGACCCTATAACCAGTGTCCTGCTTCTCCTCCCTCAAGGGAGGCCTGACTGGAGTCTCATCTCGGTTTCCCCAGAGTAACTTGGGGTTAAATAGACCTGCTCAGACTAAAATAATCAGGTACAGGTACGGTGAGTTCACATATTTACCGTTAAGAAGTGTTTACGGAGACGGGCATGGCGGTGCACGTCTGTAATACCGGTACTCTGGAGGCTGACGCAGGAAGATCGTTGTGTTCAAGGCTAGTGAGACCCTGTCTCAAAAACAGTCCGGGGATTTAGCTCAGTAGTTCCACCACGTGCCTCACAAGTGCAAGGTCCACAGTTTGATCCTTGCTGCAAAACAAACAAACAAACAAACAAACAAGAACAGTGTTACTGAGGTTCCCTGTCTCTGATCCTGGCAGTGTTTGGTGGGGCTCTGGAAGGTAGCTGGTTAGAACGGCGGCAGCTGAAGGGGGCTTTGGCTCCGCCCCCTGGCGGCCTTGGCTCCGCCCTCTGGCGCTGCGTTAGGTGGAAGCTTGGCAGTGATTGTGGCGTGTGGGTGCGGTGACACGGCTGTCTGCGACTCCTTACCGCCGCTGGCCTCCCCTCTGGGCTGGAGTGGGTCTGTGTCCCGACCGTCCCAGTGTGCAGCTGATGTTCCAGGCTGAGATGGAGCAGGGGCCTGAGGAGCTGAGCCAGTGGCAGCCTGTGAACCGGCCTTTCCAGGTGAGTCTGGGTCACCCAGGGGTGGTTGAGTGAGTGGCTGAGGATTGGAGGAGGACGAGGTGGAGGGAAGCGGAAGGGGACGGGGTATTTGTTGGCGTTAGGGATGCTACCCAGGGCCCTAAGAAGTACTTAGTGGATGGATTGGTACTGTAGTACCTGGAGCCCCAGGAGCAATTGGCAAGAGGTCTTCGGTCTAAATTTTGGAGGTCAGAGGACAGGTGAGGGTTTAGTCTGGGTCTAGACGGTTGGTGGTGTGAACCTTTCCCAGTCCTGAGCCTGGAGGGAGAATTCCTGCAGTCTGGAGGAAAGAAAGGATGGGCCCGGAGCCCACAGGAGGGGAGGCAGGAAGCAGGAGATAGTTTAGGCATGGAGTTGGTCCTTCCGAGGGCAGTGGGCGGCCTTGATCTTTCATTTGTATTTTTAAAAGAATGCCCTGGGGTGGGTGGGGGTAGGGTTCGGTTGAAAGCTGTTGTGATAATCCCAGTGAGAAGTGAAATGGGGGCGTGAAGTGAGAGCCGGGAAGGAGGAACTTCAGCGTCTGGAGATGTTTTCAAGGTAGAAACACAAGCTACACAGTATTACAATGTATTGTGCAATATAAATAATCTAGGGATGCTTTAAAATGTACAAGAGGACGCGTGGGTTAGAAGTGAGTACTGTGCTATTTTACCCAAGAGACTTGAGCATCTGGGTAGGTGCTCTGGAACCAGTTCCTCATTGGTACCAAGAGATCCACATGGTGAAGGAAGCACCCAAGATAACAGATCTCTCACTTGCACAATTGAGTGAAAATCGTGACATTTTCTGAGAAAGCAAAGGATGAGAAGGAACGGGATTAATAGGATTTTTGCAGGGAGGGGTGGTAGGTAAGGATTACTGAGTTTTGAGTGTAATCCCTTTGAAGTGCCTGTGGCTACTGAAATAAATTGCACAGCTGAAACACTCAGGAGGGATCTTCCCTAGAGCTAAGGGTTTAAGAATAATTGGAATACAAGCAGAAATGGACCCATTAGCATTGGAAAGATTGCCCAGAGAGAAAATTAGGGAAATCTGTAGGAGGCTGGAGGAGGGGCCAGAGAAAAGCTCAGAAAGCTGGGAGAGTGTCAGTGGGTGTTCCTGAGGCTAAGGGAAGGCTGGGGTGAATAACCTGAAGATCTGGAGAGGTCAGGAAGGAAAGAGTTGGAGAAGTGTTGCTTGGGCATAGAGCTATGGAAGTCACTGCTGCCCTTTGTGAAGCTGGTTCTGTGAGCACAAAGGGAGCCTGAGCAAGTCTGGGGGAACGAGAAGATAAGGTAGTGCTGTGTTCAGATAGCTCTGAAGAGTTTGCTGGTGAAAGACTGAAAACAGAAGGATCATTCCTGAGAAGGAAGGAAAAGAGACTGAGCGTGTTGGAAATAGTGTCCAGTGGTCTTTCATCTGCTGCCAGTTGTGTGTCTGCCTAAGTTGGCTACCGAGCACATGATGGTAAATAAATGAGATCGTCCCAGCTCTTCTGGGCTTAAAAAAAAAAAAAAATTCCCCCCCATAGCCAAAGTTACCAAACCTGTCAAAATTAGCTTCGTTGTATCATCTTAGATTTAGTCCTCAAATTCCTCAAATTGTCCATAAAATGTCCTTCTTAGCGGGTGTGTCCAAACCAGGATCCAATTTCAAAACCACACCTTGGATCTGGTTATTATGTCCCTTGAACTTCTTAGAAATTACTTTCTTTTTTTTAGGATTGATGTTCAGTTTTTCATGATCCTAACTTTTAGAGTTTTCCTTCTGGATTGATCAGATTGTGTTCTCATGGTATAATTTATTTTAAATTTTTTTTTGGAGACAGGATCTCACTATATAGTTCAGGGTGGCCTTGAATTCACTATGTAGTCTAGGCTGGCCTCAAATTCCCAGTAATCCTCCTGCCTCAGCCCCTAGAGTGCTGGGATTAGAGACATGAACTAACCACACCTGATTCTCATGGTATAATATAGTTTGATCTTCTATCCCCAGTATTTTTTTGAAGCAAAATATTTATTTTTTGGGGGGTTTTTTTCCCACCCCACCCCAAATAAAAGATCTTATCTCCTGTGAACAGAGGCAACTTCCTTTCTGATTCAAATTCCTTTCTTTTATTTGCCCAATTGCTCTGGCTAGAACTTCCAGTAACACGCTGACTGAAAGTAGCAAATGCAGGCATCCTTACCCCTGGTTTCAAAGGAAAAGCCTCAGTCTCACTTGTTTTCCATATATATTTGTAAAAGTATTGATTCTATAGTATTCCTACCAGTGTTTAGTTTTGGTAGCACAGCAATGTTGGGTTTATAGAGTGATTTAAGGAAGTGTTCCACGCTCTTCAATTTTTTGCAAGCATTTGAGATGCATTGTTGTTGAGACAGTCTCCCTATGTAGTCTGGGCTGGCTTTGATCTCACTAAGTAGCCCAAGCTGGGTTCCAACTTGCAGCAATCCTACCTCTTTGGCCTCTGGAGTGCTAGGATTACAGGCGTGCACCACCACACCCGGCTACAATTGTACTTTTATGATAATTGTCTTTATATCACCCTTCCCAGAGATCTTGTGGCAAATTGAAGATGGTTATAACATTAAAGTTGGCCTTGACAGCAACTGTGGCCACTGTCTAGTGTCCTTTCATTCCAACCTGCAGGACTCCCATTAATGTTTCTTGCAGGGTGCTCAAATGACAGTGATCTTTCTCAGCTTTTTCTTATTTTCTTAAAATCTGGGAATGTCATTTTCTTTTATTTTGGGGCGATGTCTTAATTTCTTATTTTTGTTTAGACATAATTTCTTCAAATTCTTTTTGCTGTGATGTTCTTGTATTGGTGTGGAACTGGTACTTGTTCTTCTAAATTGTGTTTTTTTTTTTTTTGTACCGGGGATTGAACTCAGGTCCTTGCACTTGCAAAGCAGGGGGTGGAACCATTGAGTTAAATCCCTGGCCCTAAGTTGTTTTTTTTAAAAAAATGTTGGAATGTTATATTTTTCCTTATGTAGCATCATTTTTTTTCCTGGTGAACTTTTGGGAAATTTCCATCTTCAATTTCTACGTGGATGTTTTAGTGTCTGTGAATATTTGTACCCTATGTTTTGGTTTTCATATGTGAATGGATAGTTCTTTTTGGACCATCACATTGTAGAAGTGGATGGGAAGTTGGACTAGCATTCTCAGCTCTTGGCTATAGAGCTCCCATTTGTACTGCTGTAATATAGTGACTGTGTAACCAGAGTGGCCTCAGATTCTTGGTGATGCTCCTGCCTCACCCTCCTGAGTGCTGGGATTACAGTTGTGTGCTACCATACCATGGTCAAAATGGGATTTTCAAACTCTGTAAAAAGCTTCAATTTCCAATCTTTTCTTTCCCACCCTTCATACCAGTCACAGCCATGAAGGATTGTACCCCAACTTCCCAGAAAACCACTCCTCCATTAGTTTTTCAGGAGATTTTCTTTTTTTTAGCATTTATTATTTCATTTTTATACATGCATATAATAATTTGATTATTTCCATCCCCTATTAGCCTCCCTTACATCCTTCTCCCCTCATTACAGGGATGATGATACTTTACCTATAATCCCAGCACTCTTGGGAGGCTGAGGCAGGAGGATGCATCCTGCCTCAAAATTTAAAAAGGGTGAGGTGGGGCTAGGGATATAGCTCAGTGTGAAGGCCCTGGGTTCAATCCCCTGTACTGCAAAATTAATTAAACAATTAATCATGAAAGCACACCAAAAACAAAAGAGCCAGGCATGGTGGTGCACCCCTGTAATCCCAGCACTCAGGAGGCTGAGGCAGGAGGATCACTGTAGTTTGGGGTACATAGTGAGTTCAAAGACAACCTGAACTACACAGAAAGACCTTGTCTCAACACCCTCCACAAAAAAAAGACAGAGACATGAATTTGAGTTAGGCTCCTGTCATGGTGCTCCTGTCAGCTGGTCCTGCATCACAGAAGGCCCAAGTAGAGGCAGGATAGTTCAGGCCAGAGGTGAGAGAAGCCTGGATCAGCATGGGGTCTGGGGATGGGAAGGAGTGCCGTGTAGAACTGGAATTTGCGCTAGGGTGAGTTTCATTTGATTTTCTCCTTCTCCCAGGATAACGTGAAGCCATCGCCCATCGTGGATATGTGGCCATCTTCCAGAAGCAGTGGAGTATGCACCTCTTGGAACCACAGCCCACCAGGCACTGAGCGCTGCTCTCAGGGAAGAGAGGTTATGGGGACCCTTCTGGTGTCTCCTGAGACAGCAAGGCGGGATGCTGCCGAAGTGAGGGCCCGTTTCAGAGTGTCGCAGAATGAGCACACTGTGAGCTACTGCCTCCGAGGCACGCTCACCCCCTACTGCCAGAGTGTGTCTCCCTCCCAGCCAGGGATGATGGGCAGGGGAGCCCAGCTGATGCCCTTAGAGCCTGGGATTCAAGGGGGGGATCTGACGTGCAGTGAGAATCTGAAGATGCCCCCCAATGGGCTAGTGTCAGCTTCAAGTGGAATTTCAACGATGTCCTCCACCAGTGCTCCGACAACGCCTTATTCTTATTCAACAATACCTTCTATGGGAGCCTCTTTACCATCTAAAATGTTATTGGCTTTGACCATGCCCTCCTTCAAGGCCCAGGGTGTACTCCCATCTATAGCTCAGATGAAGCCACCCACAAATCCGTACAACCTAGTGATTCCCCCTGCTGGATCCCAATCGTTGCAGACCTTGGGATCCCAGGACTCTCTTGTGAGTCTGTCAGCCTCCCACAAAGACCTCTTCCTACCTGAGCAGCCTACACCTGCTCCTCAGAGAGCAGGGAACTCGGGGGCCTGGGGAGGGGCATCCAGAAAGCAACCGCCAATTCTCAGACCGTACTGCTGCCCATATAAGGACTGTGGGAAAGCTTACACCAAGCGGTCCCACCTTGTGAGTCACCAGCGCAAACACACAGGTGAATGATGCATCAGCTGGGGAGGGGGTGGAGAAGGCTTCCGATTTGTGTACTGACTGGTAATTGATGGGTTTGGAAATTCATCTTTTATGCTTGGAACTAAGCTCTACTGACTCCACCAACTTGCCATCCAGAATAACTTCCAAGATGATGGGGAGGGTGCAAATGATGGCCTTGTACCCTCTCTGGTTTTCCTTTGTTTGTTTTCTTTCTGTATTTTACTTTTTTTCTTTTGGTTTTCTGCATCTTCCCTTTTGATTCCCCAGCCTTGACTTTTCCTGCTTCATGTCAGACCCCTTGGTCTCAACGTTAGGCTACTCTTCTACTTAATTCCATGTCTGTCACTCCTCAGGGGAGAAGCCCTACAAGTGCAGTTGGGAAGACTGTAGCTGGTGTTTCTTCCGTTCTGATGAGCTTCAGCGTCATATGCGGAGACACACGAAACACCGGCCACATATTTGTGATCAGTGTGACCGACAGTTCATGAGATCTGACCATCTCAAACAACACCAAAAGACGCATCAGCGACTGCTGGATTCCCTAAAACAGCTGGCCGACAGTGGGCAGATGGGTGGTCCTCCTGCTCCTGGTCTTTAGGTGAGTCCCCTCTTCTCAGTTTTGCTTTTCTACCCAGATCTTGTTGGCCTCTGACCAGATCATCTCTTTGGCAGGGGCTTAGGTGAAGACAGAAAGATGAAGAGGCAATGTGGAAGTCCAGATAAAGCTCTGAACCCCATGAAGGGGTCCTCAAAACTCTCAAGCACTCTTTTGGATCCCTTCCTCTCTCTGGGGCCACCTATTTGTGCCAGTTAGCCAGATGGGAAGATAGCGCACAATGGAGGGGCTGGGGATTTAGCTCAGTGGTCCTGCTGCCTACCTCGCAAGCGCAAGGACCCGAGTTCGATTCCCAGTACCAAAAAAAAAAAGAGAGAGAGAGAGAGAGCGCGCAATAGAGACTGAGATTTATTAAAAAGCTCTCTATCTCCCGTCATTTCCCAGCTTGAAATCCTTTAGTGACTCTCCTCTGCCTGCTTCATAAAACCCAAATTTTTAAATCTTGGTCTTCCAGATTCCAGTGTGAGACTGTTTAGATCTTGAGCTCATCACTATTACTCGACATGTGACTTTGGGAAATCTCTTTCATCACCATGCTTTAATTCATCCTCTGGAAAATAAGAAAAGCCATCCTGGACTATAGTGGGTATGTCATATGTACCACTTCAGATCTCCTGGGACTCGCCACCCGGGTGTCCAACGTCTGTCTCTTCCTTCCAGACCTCAGTGGAATGGCCCACCCCAGGATGGGATCCAGCATTCTGCATAGCCACAGAAACTTGGAAGTGCCAGGGAATTAGTATTCATGGGGTAAACACTGACAAAGTAGGAAATGGAAAGTAAGAGTAGCCAGGCAGAGACACTCTGCTTGGCCTCTCTCCCTTCTAAGAATTGCTATTCAAGGCATGATTTCTCCCCAGCAGTGTAGCCTTTAGGGAGATTTTCCAAGCAGCTGGTGGACACGGCTGCATGGTCTCTTCCATGCCTGACATGCGGGTGTACCCAGCTTGAAAGAGTATTATCTTGCTACCTGCGTTTTTCCTGCCTCATTTCCATCTCTCACTCCTAATGCCTTGGGTGTCCCCCATCCCCCGCCCCAATAAAACATCAATATTCAGTTCCTGCTTTAGGCTGTTTTCTAGATGCTCTGGAGGTGAAAGGAGAGAACCTTAGACTTTGACAAAGAAAGACCAAGACCTGCTGTGACACCTCTCCTACCTAGCCTGATATCTGAACCATGAAATAGCAGAATTGTTTACCCTCAGTACCAGGGATTGAACTCAGGACCTTGCGCCTGCCAGGCAGGTGTGGCACTGCTGAGCTACATCCCTGGTCCATGAAGTATCAGATATTAAGGGTCCTATTCTGCCCTGCTCTAGGATTTAGAAAGTTAGAGCCTCATTTCTGGGCTCAGCAGGCCATTTTACTGAACAGTAAGCTCATAGTAAGAAAGGAATTTGGCCAAGCTATCAAGTGGCGGAGCTAAGGTCCCAACCAGGATCTGTTTGCCTCAAAGGTGAATCTCTTCCCTTAGAGGTGGTACCTGTTGTAGATGCTGGCCTGAGCCTAGTCTGCTGTCAGGCACAGCCAAGTGATGATTGCCACAAGAGGCGTTGGGTCTGATTTCTATGCTCAAGTGATGTTCTTGGTCTGGGTCACAGGGAGTCATCTAAGTACAGTGGCCATGGGTAAAAGCAACCCCAAAGAAGTGGTCAGAAAGATTTTCTAGAGGAAAGGCAGAGGTGACTCTTGAGCTCAGTAAGAATGTAACATCTAGAAGGCTCTCAAGTATTGAAACAGAAGATGCGTGTTAAGTGAAGGATACTCAGGAGGGAGTCAGCCTGCAAGCTTCCAACCATGCAGAGCACCGGCATGGTGCAGACCCCCAGCAAGTAGCATGGAGACAACTAAAGGATAAGGATGTGCCTGGAGGAAGAGACATTTACTTATATTTGCAGTACGGAAATTGAATCCAGGATTACACATTAAGCAAATCACCAATGAGCTACGTCCCTCACTCAAGAAAGACTTCTTTAAAAAAAAAAAGGACTCATGGTGATGAGCTGTGCCTCCCATTTCTTGGACGCTGTGGTTATGCTGGATTCTGGGGACTCAAGGAATGCGAAGATACACTGCCTCCATTTTGGAGGAAAAAAATGGATTAAACTTCTGAATGTACTCAAAGGTAAGAGGGAGTGGGGCTGGTCCTCTGCAGGCTCAACCTGTTTTGGGCCTCTGGGGAAGACCCACAGCCAAGTCTGTGCTGGCCCTCACCTGCCCATGGCCACCCTCACCCCCTCCTTCGTGGTTGCCTTGGATTGTGCAACTAGTGGCCCCAGCATACCTGTGGTGGGCAGCGAGATGCCCTTTACTCACACTGAGTGGACATGATTTTAAAGAAAGCAGGAGGGACTGGGCTCATTTGTGACCCCACCACTGGCACCAGGGACTGAGGTCTGGGGTATCGGAAGCCTCTTTTATTCCCAGCTGGGTGCCAAGTCCCTTGCATGAAGCACAACATCTTGCATTCAGTGGGCCACCTGGCTCAACCCACTGCAGGCAGAGCCTGGGGCTTGCTGCTTGTGGCTGGGATGCAGGAGGAACAGTCTGGTTGGAGACCCATCACATGCTGAGCGGTACACATGAATTGTGATATATGTGCAAAAATATTTTATATACAGATAATTATTGAAGAATAAAACCTATTTGCTCTTCAGGTCACCTGAGGAAAAAAATTTTATAATAAATTGAAGCTTTTTAGCCTTTTTCAGATGTAACCACTCTCTTGAATTTTGGTAAATTTAGACTTTGCTATTTATTGATTTTATCACATCTATTTCTAAATAATAGTGACTGGTTTTTACTTTATTTGGTTTGGGGTTCATTGGAATTTCTTTAATCTGAAAGTTTATTATTTTCTTTTTTTGTTGGTACACTATATAT